CAGAACTTGCAATTTCTCCTTATTTGGTGTGCATTGGATTACAAGGATCCGTGCCTCTGAGGAAAGGACTCTAAATGTAGCCCTTATTATTGGTAATTGCTATTGCTTTCAGCTATGCCAGGTCTTTTAAGGATCAAAAAGCTTTAAAAAAAAACAAAAACAAAGCTAGGTTAAGTAAAGGGAGCTTGGTTTTGACATGGGCTTAACTAGCAACAAAGAAAGCAGGTGTTACCTGAGGGAAGTTGTGGTGCCCAGCAATTTTACAGGGAGATAGTAGTTCATCAGAAGAGGGTGCGGCTGCTTCCTTCAGCACCAATTGTTTCAATCAAATGAGTTAATCTAAACATTTAACCAACATATTCACCTGGAGGCTGGGGATTTATCTGTCTCTGGTTACAATGAAACCATCAATTTTCCTGCTGTTCTGCCCTTTTCTAGAGGACTTATAGTTTTGTGCGTCTTTTCCCCCTTAACACACAATTTAAAAAAAGAATATAGTAAATAGCAAATAATGAAAGATGTTACTAAAAATTAGAGAACTGAATTTAAAAATTGAAGAAATGAGAAACTGGGAGAACCGAAATAGATAGATCTATCCACCCCATCTATTTAAAATGCAAACTTTTCAATGTATTCACCAGCAAAATCTGCATTTCAAATTTAAAGTGTTTTTTGGGGTGGGTGGGCCTTTTTGTGCACCGACAGTACATTGCAAATTCTGGGAAAGGGCATAATCTGGCAGGGAGTTATGTTCCAATCTGCAAAACAGAAACTTTGGATTGGGTATACCAGACTCCTGCACAAAAGGAAACCAAATAAATTTCTTACCCTTCTCTACTCAGCACTCAAACAGGTTGAGAAGCAGAGCTCTGTGAGTTAATTTGGTAATAATGTGCCTCGTGAGGTGAACAGCACTGAGTCTACTGTGACAGAACATTCATATCTGGTGCTACTGGAGTGTGGCAGAACATTAGGAATGCAGTACTCAGTAACTCAGAGCTAAAGGCAAAATAGGTTGTGTGGGAATCTAACCTTTGAAACAATGGGGTAGATTGATAGTGATTATATACTTCCGGCTATGTCACAAATAACAGCAAAATTCCCAGAGGACCAATGTAACATTGTACATCTCTGAAAACTCTTCTGTGTATAAAGCTGAATGTTTAAAGTTTCAGGGCAGATAAAAGGAAATACTTCTCCACACAGTGTTAGTTAAACTATGGAACTTGCTCCAACAGGACACAGTGATTGTCACCAACCTAGAGGGCTTTAACAGAACAGTGCTATAGTCATACCTCGGGTTGCGAACGCTGCGGATTGTGTGTTTTCGAGTTGCGGGCCACACCGAACCCGGAAGTACCGGAATGCAAAATGATGTCATGTGCATGCACAGATGTGCCAAATCATGTCACACGTGTGCACAGACAGGGCGCTGCGGGTTGCGAATGTGCCTCCCACATGGATCCCGTTCGCAACCCAAGGTATGACTGTATTTTTCTAGAAAAAGAGGTGCCGGAATTCACCATGAATGCCTCTCTCATTCTCTTAGAATGGCAATGGCGTCCACCTGAGAGGTGTCAGAACTGAATTCTGGCAAGTTCCAGCTGGAACACTGCCCCCCCCCCGGTAAAAGACAATTAGACAAATTCAAGGAGGAGAGAGCTATCAAAGATACTAGCCGTGATGGCTATTGTCTGTCTTCACAGTTGGAGACAGTAATGCCTTTGAATAACAGTTGCTAGATACCACAGGAGGGGCAAGTGCTCTTGTGCTTGAATCCTGTTGGTGAGGTTTCTCACAAGTATCTGGTTGGACACTGTGAGAACAGTGGGCCATTGGCCTGATCCAGCAGGCTCTTCTTGTGTAAATGTTGAATATTGTAATGTAGCGAGTAATATCTAAAGATCTATTAATGTCTTCTGAAAGACTGCACAACATTCTGTTGCCATATAAATGGCATTGTGAATGTGCATGTGCTTATTGTGCTTCAGATCCAGGAAGAGGTCTTCCTACTGTGCCCAAATGATTCTTACTGCATGTGGGAACATGCAGAGTCCTTTGCTTTCCCCATGGTGATGCCATTGCTAAGGAAACAAATGTAGTAATTGCACTCCCTCTAGTTAGACATGCACTCTAGTTAGATTGCACATGCATTCATACACATGCCATATGATTTATCTACCCTTGGCTATTGTACACATGATTGGCACCTTTAAGTGCAAATGACTCAAATGAAGGAGTCAGTTGATTAACAAAGAGATAAACAATGAGCCAGCATTCCCTCTTTCTCTTCTCTTTCAGAACTCACAACTTGACTGCTTTCCCCAGGCAGAATGTAATCAGGGCCAGTCCTTGACTTGAGTTGAATGCTTCTCCTATGGCGTCGGGCTCCTGCCACAGGTTTAGCAGGTGGTTGCAGCAAGATACCATTTAAAAATTTCTGCAGTGTATGTAGCATTGCTCCAAAGAATATTGTGGGCAATTTAAAATGATGACTCACAGACCAAGGGAAGGTGTTAGCACCAGTGGCCTCTGCTACACCATTCGGCTCCTGCAGCTGCCCAAGGATGCCAAGGGCTAACCCATGACCAGAATGTCTTATATTGCCAGTCTTGGATGTGATATGAATGATCTGTCTGTGCTATTGTATCTAAGATGGTCTATTCACATAAGCAGATTGTGACTAGTTACTGCAGCCATCAAGTACTTAGCATGGCTGTGTAAATGGTTCAGCACCTAGAGAACTTGCTTATGAGGCATCTAACAAATAATATCAGCAAAATTTCCTTCCTGATTCACCAAGATTTGAACTAGGCCTCTAGGTCTCATCTGTTAATATATATGCCCAGGTAATACACAGGTCATTTGGGTAAAGCTCAGCTTCTTGCCTTCTTTGAGGGATTTGTTCTATTAATACCATGTTGTTTTCTTTGAGTCAATTGACACAGTTAGTTAACCAGAATGACAGCTTTTCAGCACTCTACCATCTGTGATTTATTTACATGTTTAAGGGGCGAAGGGCACAGAAAGAAAGAAAGAAAGAAAGAAAGAAAGAAAGAAAGAAAGAAAGAAAGAAAGCCTCCAGCTAATTAGGGCCTATCTACTCCCTTATGCTTTTCAACCCTGTTCAACCCCATCCATTACATATGAAAAGTTTTTTGACAGGTTTTCTGATTTAAAAAAATAACATATGCAGAGATGCAGAATGAATACTACTATAGGAGTAGTTCAGTTCTGCTGGTCTGGGATATGCATATTTTGATTGACACTTTCTCAGGACCAATAGACAAGAATGCAAACAGAATTGCCCATGTTCCACCCCACCCCAATCATATATTGACAAATAGCACAATTAAAGTGGATTAGGCTCTCTTGTGCTGCTCTCCCTTGTGCTGGAAAGTTTGGAATAACAATGACTTGATGTGATCTCATAGAACCTTCGCGCAAACAAATGAGAATGAATGCTCAATAAACAGCAGGCTATAACCTCCACACAAACTGTATAAGCTCCATACAAACTATGTGAAAACCAGTAAGGATGAATGCTCAATAAACAGGTTGCCATAGTTTAAAAAAAAACCAGCTATGGCCCCATAAAAAAGTACTCCACAATCATTTCAAAGCTTGCATCCCTATGTACAGTTCAGATGTTCTTGGCGTTGCTATTGCTGCCAGCTCAGCAAAGGATAAGAAAATCCCACACTGTAGCAAGCGTTTTCAGTCTAATAATAAATAGCTATTTCCTGGGCATCAGGTTGAAAGTGTCGTCCTAATGAATGCTGAGCTAAAGGAAATGGTTGATGCATTTCGGTCACGATAAATAAAGGGGCACATATACCAATTGCCAAAGGCTTTCATAAGGTTTCCTCTGAACATCACTATCAATTGCCATATTGCCTAGTATCAAAATCTTTTCCTATGTATCTGGAGCCATCAAATGTGACCCTCCAAGCTTCTCTTCTGGCCCAGTCCACACCCAAACCACAGACCACATCCTTCACTGGCCTGCTGCACGGTGCCCCTTTTAGTAATTGCACCTGGCTGGAATGTGTCCTTGAATGGTAATAATATCTCTTACTTGTCTGGATTGAGGATGGAGAGTGGTACGTGTCTCAACACACCCACTTTTGTCACATCCACCACTGGTGTCAGGTCCTCAGAAGGTTGCCCATGAAGGAATGCTGAAATAGACCCCCACCTCTGCATTATGCCATTGCAGCAAGATGGGAGCATAGAACTTCTGAAAGAATGAGTCGTGCTCCTCCCTTGCCATACTTCCAGTTCTGCCCATATCATATCCTTGCCATATTCTGCCAACACAAGGCTTCATCCAGCCCAGCCTATTGCAAATAGTACAATAGTTTCGCTATGCTGTCTTAAATTCATTATGCTGAAATATCTCGGTCCAGCAGATGCAGTCGGAGAAAGTAGCCATCTTATCCTGCCAAATGGACATAACTCTTGGAGACAGTAGTGCCTGGTACCCACTGGGGCTGGTAGGGTGGAAAGCAGGGAGGCCAAAAGCAGACAAAGTCAGGCACAGCCAACTAAGTCTAGTGTGGTCCACAACCTGTTCCCTGATGAGTTCTTTAAAAAAGGCAACACAAAGACTAAGAAGGAGGAACGTACCTACTAGTTGTAGGTAAGGAGGAGTCAGGTGGGGGCTGTATGAGGTTAGTGGAACTGTGCTTCATTCACTCCAATGGACCAGCCTCCACTGGCTGCATAGGGCCATATTGTAATTCAGTCCTAATTTTCTGATTTCATTAGCTGTTTCACCTCGTACCATTTCTAAATGGCAGGTGCTGTTCATTTTTTGTCTTTGAATAGGTTCTAGCCACCTACTGCTCTATCCATTTCAATGGGATTTTCTGTGGTACCCACTGGCAGGATAAGTGGAGAATGCACAGTTGTTGTTGTTGTTGTTGTTGTTGTTGTTGTTGTTGTTGTTGTTGCTTTTCAGTTGGACTCCTAGACTACTTCACTTTAGGAAATCTTACCTGCCTGGAGGTCTGTAGGGGAGCGTGGAGTCTCGCCTCGTCACCTTCCAATTTTCCTCTGGCAGATGAAGATAAAAAGGTTAGCAGTTCTTTTTATAAATGTTGTTATGAAGTTGAACAGCTTTAATTTGTGGTGAGGTGAAATTATTGTTTGGTTCAGGACTCCTGCTCCCAGGAAGCTGCTGAGAGAATTAGAGATAAAACAAAAGTTCCTTCTATTGCTCTTTTGCAGCTAGGGCTTGGTGAGGGCACAGAATGGGTGTTTTACAGTTCAACCCACTTGCAAGCCAGGCTTCTTAAAAAACACTGGTTTCCCAAAACATCATGGAAGGGAATAAGTTACTGAAAAGAGTAGGAGACACATGAAGTGCAAGTGTTTCCCGTTTCCCAATGTCTTCATGTCCAAAATACAACTTTTGCCTCCTGTGCTTCTACAGATTTTTCAAACTGTCAGACAAACCGGGGGGGGGGGGCAGGGGGAGTCCTAAGAAGGGGCTGAAGCAAAAGTACAGTATTGTTATAGGATTGGGAGGTTTGCTTTGGATTATGCCTGTGGGTCTCCAAGCTTGTAGTTTGGTATCTGTAAAATGGGAACCAGTCTCTTTGTTAAGGTAATGCCACTAAAATGCCTACCTGAAAATTTTGTTGTCTCTTGACACAGCTGGCTTGTGGATCAATCTGGAAGCAGAGAGAGGTCATTGGGCCTTTGAGCAGGACTGTAGAATAGGATGAGTAAGAAATGAGAAATTACTACTATTATTATTACTACTAGTACAGTAGTACCTCAGGTTACATACGCTTCAGGTTACATATGCTTCAGGTTACAGACTCCGCTAACCCAGAAATAGTACCTCAGTTTTAGAACTTTGCTTCAGGATGAGAACAGAAATCGTGCTCCGGCAGCGCGACAGCAGCAGGAGGCCCCATTAGCTAAAGTGGTGCTTCAGGTTAAGAACAGTTTCAGGTTAAGAACGGACATCCGGAACTAATTAAGTACTTAACCCGAGGTACCACTGTACTACTATTTCCCTCAGAAAAAGACATCACATCAGTAATATGAATCAGTTGAAAGTGTATATACAACCAACAGAGCTTAAGCACCACTAGTCATATTTACCTGTGTTGTTTTCCTAGAGCTGCTGATAGTTATTATCATCTTCAGAAACAGGAAATTACTACTTCACTGGAGTTTACACAACAAACATCTAACAAAATAGCTCTGGTGGCAGTCTTATCATGGTTCACAAGGATTGTGAAATAAAACAAAAGTTGGCAAAAACACTCTCAAGATGCAGTTTTAAATATTTTCATGTTCAGTTTGGTTTGTCAGGTTTGAGTGTGTGTACATTTAAAATAATGTAATTAAAATTCATGGGACACATGTTATATTGAATCCTGCATTCATTTGGACTAACAACTGCCATTATTTGGTTCTGTACTCCCAGTTCACCACCGCAGATTAGAATGCCCCATCCAAACATTAATTGAAAGGGGATGGCGGTGAATTACGGTAACTTTTTGCCCTCTCCCTACCCCAGCTGTTAAAGACCATGAAAGGGAAACTACTGTATATTAAAGTGATGTTAAGGACATACCCCAACAAAGAGTTGGGCTGACTTCAGCCTTACATGGTCTTAAGGTACAGGGGCATAATCCTTTATGACTGTGGTGACACTGACTTGAATAAACCTGCATAAAATACAATGCACAACATTTTATGTTATGCATGAAATCCTACTGATGCATCTCACTGAAGGTAAGGAGTGGTGGAGATTATCAGGCTGATCATTCCATGCACCGTCATCAGAGGGAGACCACTGATCCTTGGGCTATATTAACTGGTAGCAGCTTTCCAGGGTTTTAGACAGGAAACTTTTTTCCAGCCCTAGGTAGAGAACCGGGGAACTTCTACAAGCTTTCTCCCTTTATGTCACATGATCCACTGATGTGTGCTAAATTTACAAGTCAGAATGCATGTTCAGGATCTCTTCCTAAGTTAAGGCATAATTAATCTGTTAATGATTTTGAGCATGCAGTCTAATTTAAATATTTTCTGTGTCTGAGCAACAGAAGCATTAAAGACTAGCAATCAAATATTGTCATGAACATAGGTAAGACTCAAAAATTGTATTAGTCTTTAAAAGGGCTAAGAGCTAAAAGAGACATTTCATTAATCTTTAAAAACTAAGTGAAACAGTAGTTAAATGTTTTAAAAGTTTTTTTTTAGTGGAAATACACATGCCAAGTAAAAGTGACAATGACTAGTAAATGCTGCCCTCTGGTGTGTTCTGTTCCCTTGTCTGCAGCTAGGACTGGTCTTTCCTCATTATATGATTCCTTGTATATCTTAATTGTTACCTAATACGTAATTGTAAAGTTTGTTAACTTTTACCTTATCTGTTCAGAAGGTAGCCATTATGCCTTCCTATGCAAGGCATGAGACAAAATGTACATTTTGAAAGTAATGCAAGAGACTTGGGGGCTGCTACCCAGACTGGGCAAAGGGGCTTTCTTCTGATGCAATGTTGTCATGGAGGGTAAAGAATGCAAAAGCTACAAGCTAGTAGTACCTTAACAAAACAAAATGTCACAAAGTGAAGTTTATAGCTCATTTTTACTTCAAGTTCCCTAGGACTCTTCTCCAGGTGGGAAGGTAAGCAAAATTAGGTATGGATGGATAAGTCTATTTCTTGTCCATATCAATTTCACATGTGCTTATTCAGAAGCCCATCCATCTCACTTCAGCATTAAGCTGCAATTCCTTATCTTTAAAAAATCCACTCATATTTGTATTATTTAATACATATTTTATAACAAAATACATATTTAAATATGTGCCCCCCCAATGTATGCATCTTGAAATGCACATTTTCAAAATGCACTTGAGCTGTTTTCTCTCATGCTTAGCAGCTTGTTCCCTTTTGTGCTTTTGTTTTGCTTGAACCATGAAGTTTTTCTGCCCCCCTCCTGCAGGCCTCAACAGTTGTTTCCAGTTTTCCTTCTGCTAGGAACATAGCAGGTTTCATGCCAGGCTAATGTCAAAGGGTCAGTTTGAAACCCCCTTGTCTTTGTTTCTCACTCTTACAGCTGGCTGGCATCCATCTTTGGGGCTCCTTTGGAGGCTGACTGTACAACTCCATGCATCACATAATTATTAATTTCTGGTTTAACTCAGCTGGCTACCTGTGGTTTGGCTCAAGCTTCTCAACCTCTCCAATTCTCTTTCAACAACCTAGCATTCCCACTAGAGTTACTTCCATCATCAAGTGCCACCCAGTGGCAGAATGTCAGTTATCATGTGCTTGAGGCTTTGCAAATCTTTACCATGATCTCTGAGAACTGAGAAATATTTTTAAGGACTCACCCTATTTCTCTGATTGAAAATTGTTTTACGGAATTTTAATGTTATGTCTTTATATTGCTGTAACTCACCCTGGGACATTATGGTAAAGAGTGAGTATGAAATCTAAATCATCAACATAACCCACACCATTTATTACACCTTGCAGTCCAAAATCTAAATTTGATACTAAAGGAGTTAGTAGCTGGAAGGAAAACGAAGGAAATCTAACCTGAAACCTTCTCAGGAAATAGATACAGACCATGAGACCTGGCTTGGGCATATCCTGAATGACTATTTTATTAGATGTGGTCAGATGTGGCAGCTTCTCTACACCACATTCTGTGTTCTATTACACAAAAAGCTGAAAGAAATGCTCAACTATTTAACATCTAAAAAAATCTAAGGGGGCATTTTAAAAGTGGTTTTAACAAAAGGACACATATGGGAAGCATTCATGTTGTCAAGGAATACAACCTTGTTCCTCCAAGATATTAAAAACATTTGGACATGTCAGAGTCCTGATATTTTAGGGAATGACCAAGGAAAAATCTAAACCAATGCCAGCGTATCCTAGCTTGGTTTTCATGAGGGTTGCACAACATCATGACTGTTCTTTGTTACATGGTAAAATGTCATTCAGGAATGATCCGATGGAACACCATAGAAACAAAACGACCTCTCTTCATTTTTTCCTTTATGATTCCTTCACTTGCTAATAATAAACATGGTCCCTTTTTCAGCCACCCCAGCAACTGTGTTCAAAAATAGAGGAAAACAGCATACATAATAATTACCTAATTGAAAGGCAGACTTGAAGTAAATTGTGAAGTGATAAGACTCTTTGGCCAAAGACTGAGGAGAATGGCTTGGCCAAACTGCTGATTAGAGGGGAAAGACATTAACCAGTTGAAAACAGTCAGTTGTCTTTCCTTCTGCCATCTTGTTTACCCTGCTATAGGATAACTGTTTGCTTGGCCCTGTTCTGGCAACCACAGAAGCTCTATTTGGACATCCAGATTATTAACGTGTGAATAATCATGTGATAGGTAGGAGGATTCCATTATCAAGTCCCACTCCTCCCACCACAGCCTTGCATGAGTTCAAGGAGAAAGTCTGAAGAAGGGGTCTCCTCTACTTGCCCAGGACATTACTCAGCAGAGGGCCCTTCAATGCATCAGGACAGGTACAGGATAAGTATTTTGGGGTTGCACTCCGTGGCAACCCAGAAGTAACAGAGCGCGTTACTTCCGGGTTCCGCCGCTCGCGCAGATGGTCAAAATGACGTCACACGGCGGGACCAGAGGTTTACTGAAGACTGGACTAAATTTAATGAGTATTTGAAAAGTATTTGTGATGATCAGATTACGTTTGTAGGACTACAAGAAGCTCTGTGAGGAGTAAATTAAGAAATATTGTAAAAATGGAAAGGGAGAAACGATATGTTAGAAAATGTAAAGGCAATATTAAGTTAAGAATTGCAAGAGAAATAATCAAGACGGAAGACCATCAGAGATGCTGAAGGAAGTCCAAACAAGGATATATGTATAATAATTTGTGTGGTATGTCTTTAAAATTTTGTATGCTAAAAATTAATTAAAAAAATTATTTAAAAACCCACAAAAACAAAATGACGTCACACGCATGCTTGGAAGCGACGAAACGCGACCTGCGCACGAGCAGACGTGCAGTCACATCTTACGTTCTGTTCAGGATGCGAATGGGGCTTTGGAATGGATCCCGTTCACAATCCGAGGTACCACTGTACCACATTTTTACATATTTTTTGTTCAATACAACTACAAATAATAGAGGGGTGAAAGTATTGAGAAAACAGCAAAATTAATACACACACACACCCCAACCAGGAGCAGACATTTTAGGAAAAAATGAATCCAAATAGCAAAGGACTTTCTACAAAGTTAGTAACAATTACAGAGTTACATTATCAGATTATATATTCTTTTAATATCGTATTGTTCCCTAGCTAAAGTGACTACAAAACTTTTACTATAAAAGCAAGAAGCCACTGTCATCAGGTCCGTAAATGGGTGAATGGTGAAAGCAGCAAAAGTGAAGTGATATACATTACCCCCTTAAATGTGTGGACTTGGTAAGACCAGAGTCTAAAATTACCCAAGAGCACCAATGGTCATTGTCACAGATGATGTACCTGATGAGTTACTTATCCTGTTAAGTATATAACCCTTTAGACTAAACTGTGGCCCTCCAGTTGTTGCTGGATTACCATTATCATTCATCATCCCTGACCAATGGCCATGCTGGCTGGGGTTGATGGGAATTGTAGTCCAACATCTGGAGGACCATAGTTCAGCTACTCTGGCTTTGGGGCCAAAGTATTACCTGGAAGATCTGC